GGCACATAACAGTAGTTCCAGATCTCCGATATATATTTGTTGGACTGTCGCTGCTTTAAAAGACGCGCCAAAGGCTGCCAGTAGAACAAAAATAGTCCCCAGGTTCCACCATGAGACCAAACATTTCCTCTTCTTAGTTCTGCCCTCCCAAATAATTTCAAATGAATATGAAAAAGAGTATGAAAAAGACACTTCAGACACGGACTTGAGAATTAATATATGCTGCAAATAGTTGCAAATTCAGATAATAGTAAAAGTAACATATAAAAATAATCCTAGCATAAAAAGAATGGAGGCAATGCTAAAAAGAAATAAATGTTATCACCGTTATTACTCCCAATTTGACTGGTAAATTAAAAGAAAACAAAGGCCCTATTCTGTATATTAACACAGATTTTCTTCTCGACTACAGGAAAGTGAGAGACGCAACTGGAGTTGATATTAATATGTGTGTAGGAGTGCACTCTGGGAATGTGCTTTGTGGTGTTATTGGGCTACAGAAGTGGCAGTACGATGTGTGGTCACACGACGTTACTCTGGCAAATCACATGGAAGCTGGAGGAGTCCCAGGGTAAGAGCTTCTGTGTTAACTTTTGGACACATGGAGTTTTGTACCGTGGAGAAATGCATAGGTACCATGTCTTCAGCCATCAGCCTTCATGGAGAAGCCTGAAATAATTCTTCGTGTCGTCTTTAGGAAAAAAAAAAGAGGCACTCAGTATTTCCTGTGATTTAAAGAGTATTTTTTTGTGGATGGAAACCTTTGGATTTATGCCCATTGCAACTTCTAAAAATTAGATTAGAAGGACTGTAACTGAAGTGAGCAGTATATAAAAAGTGTATCCAAAAGCTAGTAAAACAGGTTGATCAGGTTCAAATTATGCTTTTGATCGGTATTTGTGATTCTGTCATTCTTTTAAAATATAATTTCAGCCGTGTTCACATCACCTCAGTCACCTTGGCACATTTGAATGGAGCTTACAAAGTGGAAGATGGGGATGGAGATGTGAGGGACCCATATCTGAAAGAGCATAATGTTAAGACTTACTTTGTAATCAATCCTAAGGTTAGTAGTACTTTTATTTTGTGGCCAGTGATAGTTATTTTTGAGCAGGACCACTAATTTCTTTATTGAATAATTCACTACCATAAGATATTGATCAGAGCTATTACCGATGCCTACAAACACATAACGTTTGCATTGCAAATCTTTCCCGCTCTTCAGAAATAAGTCTCTGATATTTCCCAGCAATATCATTAAGAATTGCAGGTTCTTAGCATCTCTCCATTTTTAAGTTCCTAAGCATGCAGATATGTGGTACCAGATGATGCATTACTGCTTCAAAAGGTAATGAACACCAAGGCTGATATCACCTTTTGCTCTCTGTCATCCAGGGAGAGAAACGAAGCCCTCAGCACCACATTAGACCTCGACATACTCTTGATGGAGCCAAAATGAGAGCTTCTGTCCGCATGACCCGGTACCTGGAATCCTGGGGAGCAGCCAAGCCATTTGCACACTTGCACCACAGGGACAGCATGACCACTGAAAACGGCAAGATTAGCACAACAGTAGGGGCCTACTTCTGTCATTTCATACAATTTAGCTGTGTTTGAAAGGAAAAAGGTGCTCACTGCTAAATGCCTGGTTATTTTTGATAGAAGAAGATACACACGTTTGTACAGGATATAAACCCCGTCAAGTTGCTGGGTGCTTTTCCATTGGCATGTGAGCTTTGGATTAGACTCTAAGGAGTCATGTCTTGCTATAAGTGCATCTCTGAATTGTAAGGAGTCCAACGACAATTTGACCCTCTGAGCTCAAGCGCCCATCACAGCATGTAGAGTGAATGCTTTTCACTTTGTGGAAAGACATTTTGAACATAAAGCCAGAGTGCAACCCCTTTGAGAAAAAACACTTTTGATACAGAGGGATTCCCTGAGATTTATTATCAATTTAGCCACATTCTCTATTTGGAACATGGTCAAACCTGGAGAAAGGCTGTGAAGTTAGAATATCCTTGTGGTACCTGGAGTGGGCTTTATTAGGAGAGTTCTTTGGGAACTAAATCCATACTCACTGTAAGACCTACCTTTTGAAGGTGTACTAACCACTCATCAGCTATGACTGGTGACTTGAGTTTCACGGTGCCATAGTGCAATGTTACATCTCTTACACTGAACAGAAAAGGTTTCTTTTTAATTTTGCTAACACCATTTTACTGCTGTCAGTAAGATGCTGTCAGTTCACCGCTTGTACTTTACATTATCTTCTGCTTCTAAAAAGTGCAAAACTAAAAGTAAATTCTAATACTTTTCAATGTCAGCATTCAGTTTTGTTCCTGCTACATATGGGAACATAGAATTAAGCCACTTAACCCATCTTATTCCATAAATACAGTGCATCAGAATGTGGATTGTGACATGTTCATTACAGAAAGTACCCAGCCATCACTATTAATCACAAAATAAATGTGTCTGTGGTGGCTGCTGTTGCTTATTGGTAAAAAACAACCATTGCTTCTATTTGGCCACTCAGGTCTGTTTTTTCTCAAAAACACTTAACATTGTTTTTTGCCGAAGCTGACAGGAGTTTGGGCTACATTGAAACAGTGGTGACTTTGAAGCAGTGACTTTCTAATAAAGCAAAACATTCTTGGATTCAGACTGTTGTATTAGTTATCTAGTGTTTATAATGATAGATCAGTTTGTCTCCAGATCACTCCATCTTCACTCTTGGGTGGATTTTTCTTTTAGACAGTTTTAATCTAATGCTAAAAGTATTTGTATTGGAAACTTTTCTCCTTACTTGACCCTGTTTTCAACAGTATTTTTAAAGCAGCTTAATGTTGTCAAAGTCTATTATAGTTCATAGGTATTTTCTTTTTTTTTTTAGGATGTTCCCATGGGACAATATCATTTTCAGCGTTGCAGAGAGAGGTAAATTAATTTTTAAGAATCGCTTATTCATATAAACTCCATATAAATACATATACATTCAAATGCATTCATATGTATATAAGGCATGCATAATAACCCATTTGAAATATTGAGGGCCATTTCTTATGCAAACTATTTTTTCAGCTGATAACTCTTATATAGAGAGGGCTATGGAAATAGGTTTGGCAGACATGTTACTTCTGAATTGTGAATACACTTCCTGCTAACAAATAGCATTTTTCTGGATTGGTATAAGTATGTTGATGGGCTACTGTTCAGTTCTCCTATTAATGCAATTGCTCTATCAGTAGGGAGAAAGTTAAATGCTGGAAAATTGAGAGAAGGCACAGAGGGGTAAGAAAAGGGAAGATGGAAAGGGCTGTTAATAATTTGTGTTGCAACAGCCAATAATATTTACTAAAAGAAACGTTTTGTGTATTTTATTAATTTGCTTTGTATTTGCATTGTGGTTTATTTTTTCAAAGTCTGTAGAATGTTTGCAGTAGTAAACATTCAGAAGGAACTTTGTGGTCTTCCAGTAGTGCTCCTGCTGCATAAAAAGGTTTGCAAAATCACAATAGCTTTAAGTTTTCATTCTCCTGCTTGATACTTCAATGACTAGGGCAAGATGGTGAGAAATGGAAAGAGTTGAACTGATCACTTCTTTAAAACCACCCGGAATTTCTAAATCAAGAAAAGAATGGCATCTCTTTAAAAGCTTATCACTGTCAGAAACCTGGAATGCTTAATTTTTATTTTAATGACCTGATCACACTTCAGATAATGCCTTTCATGCAAAATTACAAGTAATGTCACAAATACCATAAAATTGTTTGAAAGAACTCTTTAAAAATGTGTATTTTTGTTGTCTTTGCTTATGCAAACAACTAATTCTGTCTGTTCCTTCCCAGTCTCTCTGCTTGGTAAATGTTTCCTCAACAAATCACAGGTTACTTTACCTAAAATATTGCTAAATTCCAGAAGGTCAACAAGTTTTGTCTGAATATGCAAGATATTAATAAAAACAGTCTCTGATTTTAAAACCGAGCACTTACATTTGGACAGTATGTCAAAAGGACTTCTATCAGCCTTATGGTAAAAAGAAAGATCATTGCACTGTGCTATTTGCAAATAATGCAATTCTTTAAGAATCTGAGGTGTTCTTGCTTTTGTATTTCTAAATTCCACTCCAAAATAGATCCAGATGTTACCATTTGTCTTGATATCATGTTATGGAAGGAGGTTCTAGAAATCATTACTGGAGTCTAATGTCCATAGTGAAGCATGTAACTAGAATTCTAGATAAGCTAGTTAGTCATTCCCACAGGAGAGAGCTGAAATGATAATAAGCACTTTGAAAATCAGTATTTTATCAGAATATGAAAATGTGGGTTTTGAAGCCTGACTGTAGGCTTCTGTGTGTAGCAGTCTTAGCTCTTGTCTAGTTACATGACAGTCTTATGTTGTTAGGGATCTGCCGAGAGGATTAAGTGTGATTAGATAATGTCTTGTCATCTGTCTAGTTATTTCTCCTAGACAGATTGTTCCACATGTGAAAAATAAGTTGTAAACACTTTCTCACCTAAATTCTATAGCATTGAATAGGCATGAAATCAGTTGGGTTGCTTAAATTTACTCTTAAGTACACTAATATAATTTCTGTATGGATTTGAATCCTGCAACAGGTTATCAGTTTTGGGGAAATAACCCAAAAACTTGATGTTGAAGAAAATCCGTGTTAACCTTTGCAAGGGTTCAATTTGTAGGTTAAGAAAATTTTGCTAAGCAAAGAGTCAAATTCCAGATCTGACTGTTGACTTCTTAAAAAACACTGTTACTAAGTTAACATTGGATTTAAGTTTTCAAGAGGCAGAGACATAATCTGGCAACATTTGAAATATCCTGATTGTAAGGAGGCCGCAACTGCTGAAAGGACAGATTATGTTTGTAGTAACATGCTGGTGAAGACAAACCCATTCTGATGATCCTCTGTTGGGTTCATGCTGAGTCCAGTGAAAAGAAATGATCCTTTTTTTTTCATTGCAGTTGTGTTATAACTTAGAAATAGAGAAACATGACATATGTTTGAAGCTAATTTCAGACTTGGTGCTCAGTTATCTAATTAAAAATAATAAAATATTTCCAAGAAAAGAAGAGTTAGCAGGCTTTCGATAGAGAATATTTATTATGCCTTGGTGTACTAGCACATTATTGCTCGTCATACAATTCTAACAAGGATTTTTAAAAATAAGTACAAGAAACAGGAGTGTTTTATGAATTTGAGCGTATTCCCATTCTTTTTCATTAATTCATAACACCGTGGAAGACTTTCTTTCAACAAGAATTTCTTGAACTCTCTTGGTTTGAGTTTTTTATGAAATGTTTTATTGTGTTTGTTTTTTAATTTCTCCCTAATAGCTAAACTCTTGATTTTTGTGTCTGTATGTGTGTCAGACTCTGTACCTCGTGCTGATTTTGTTAAGAGATTATTATGAAGCTCATTGTGCCAGAAGCCTATATCTGCTATTGCAGCAGAAATGTTAAAAAATTGTTATTTCCCTCACAAGTTGTCGCGGTTTTGGACTGAGGGTCGAGACAAGAACCGAGAGGGAGCACCCCCCAACCATGGTCCCGGGCAAAACTTGACTCAGGCTTTTTTTTTTTTCTTAAAACAAAACAATTTATTAACAGTTACTTAACAAGACACAAAAGGGAACGAAAACGGTTACTTGAGAGGAGAAAGAGAAAACAAGGCCAGATCTTAAACACAACAACCTCCCCACCCCCCTTTCCTTTTGTTCCCGGCTCTACCTCCCCCCCAGCGGCGCAGGGGACCGAGGAATGGGGGAGTGCAGGTCAGTTCATCCATGATGTTACTGCCGCTCCTTTCTTAAAGGAGGAGTCGTCCTTACACCATTTTTCCCTTGATTCAGTGGATCCCCTACTCACGAGGAAAAAAACCCCCAAACTTTTCCAGCATAAGTCCTGCCCGCAGGATTGCAATCCTTCCCCATGGATTGCACCAGTTCGGGCTTTACCAGTCTCAGCCTCTTAGGGAGCTGTTGCCACTCGCGTCAGCGTGGGGCGTCCCACGGACTCCAGATGCCTCCACGACCTCG